TGAGTGGTGGTAGATAAAAAAATGACTATCGATAAATGCAATGTATTTTTCTTGTCTATGAATACATTTTGAAATAGATTTTGATTTTTGATTTTGAGTGTTTGGGGAGTTTTTTATATTTGAAAGTTTAAAGCAGCTTTTTTCAAGGTAACATTATACATAATTGTAGTTCTACCGTGTCTAAAGTCCTATTAAAACAGTTGACAAAAGTTAATTGCTGCCAATATCGTGAATATCGAAGAAACTGCGCTGGCATAAGCTGAAGTATCAGTGAATAATTATATATCATAATCATCATTTAAATTCACTATTATAGGAGAGATGGAAAGTCTAAGCTCTTCTTATGTGCCTGTAGACTGGAAATGCAAACGAAATTCTATTAATCTATTGAATTAAGTCGGCAACGTTAACGAAGAGGCACGGTGGGTATTTTTATGTCCGTAATCTACGAACTAAGTGTCAGAAGGCAAGCTAAAGAATGAGTGGACGAGCCTCGCGTGCGCCACTTCTGCGTGACCATTGTCCATCGATCAACATTCTTGTGAGATACGACACGAAGGACATATTTTTTTCACACGAACCGCCCTTTAATGACCGGAGTAGGCGCAAACATTTTCACCGGATACTTTGTCATCTGTTCGTTAAGGATGAGCAATGACTTTGTACGTATCAAAGCAGGATAATGTGTAACGATTTCCATATACGACATGGCACGAACTAGAATGATGACAATACTGAAGCTTTAATTATACATTGGAGGGTACATTTTACATATTTTACCTAGGTACATGTAATTGGTACACGATAATGTTTTTTATATAATTAATTATTTAAGTAATTTTTTTTAAATGCTTGAAACATTAAAAATCCTTGTCATGTTTGTTAATGTACACTGAAATAACAAAGTGGGGCTCTGATTGACTTATTAATTTGTCAAAGCGTAACAGAAAGGCCTGAAGTTATAAATTAGGTCATTCACGTAGATAGTTATCTAATAAAATAGATGTTTTTACTGCAATCTTTCAAGGGCGAATGGAATTTCATTTGAAGAACTTTAGAACCTGTAAGTTAAAAAACTACGTAAAAAGTGCAGAGTAAAAGAAATTTGTTAGGTGTAAATGTGACGGCAAGGTGTTTTCTACACCTTTGTATGTATTTAATTTTATAATAAAGTTTTATAACCATTAAAAGATGTAGAAAAAGTGCGAAAAGATTGTCGCCGCTGTGGGAATCGAACCCACGTCTTCATATTTTAATGTTAAATCTTAAGTGCAAAGATTAGCACTATAAACAATTCAAATTTCTAAAAAAGCAATGGCGACATCTCTCGTTAGAATTATCGTTGTAAAACGATATTCGAAGTTGTTTGTATGCTGGAAAGGATATAACAATGGATGGCGCCAAGCATTGCTTCAAATGCTAAGAAAACAATGTGGAAGAATGCGTTAAGATATTCGTCGGTGTGGTAATCAGCCGTTTAGCTCAGTGGCTAGAGCGTCAGGCCGCGAATGCCGAAGACGTGGGTTCGATTCCCACAGCGGCGACAATCTTTTCGCACTTTTTCTACATATTTTAATGTTAAATCTTAAGTGCAAAGATTAGCACTATAAACAATTTAAATTTTTATAACCATTTCTTCCATTCAAACATTCTTTTCGCAAATTCAAACCAATGAAAGGATTTGAATCTTCATCAAATAAAGGTATTTTTAGTATTAATCATTTAGAACTAAATGTTATATATGGTCTTTTCGTAAAAAAATCCATAATTGTAAGAGAATTTCAATTCCATAAAACTTCATGTTTAAATTTTATTATTTCTTTTAATTGAGTATATTAATACCGATGATGTACAATATACAATTTTGTTGCCCATATCTTATGAATTGCTATCTTCGTGGGAAGCATAAAGGAGGTAAGTAGTAATGGAGGGTCATTTTGAAATTGTAATGGCGGTTTCAACTAACAAGCCAACCGTCCCTTTTAGGGAAACTGTGAAACTTGTCAGAGGGTTATATTGCGTGACAAAACACGACTGGTGCACAGTAATCAGATTATCTGGCCATTTGGCTACCGCACTACTTGGCCTGCTATCACACGGATCCGTAGGTACTAAACCGTTGGCCTATCAGCTTTTACAAGTTGTCGGCCCGCTCCACAAACTCAGATAAGGGACAACTATTACTGTTATGTACGGAAACCCTAATCATTACAACGTTATTATCTAGTATTATATTATGATGTAAATACAATTCGGTTCTTACATCAATACAATTACGTATTTTGCATTTTTAATATTTGTAGTTAATATTTATAAAACATATTTATTATAATTTATGCGTAGTTTCCATACAATTTATAAACTGTATAGAAACGTTATAACTATTGATAAAAAAATTTCGACTAACTTTGATAAATATTAACATAATTAATTTTATAATTTTATTGAAAAACATAATTGGAGTTAATAAATATTCATGAGCTTGACACAAAATTAAAACATCTTATTTTATTTATCCATTGAGACCGTCTTGGAACGAAACTTTGTAACAGCAACAATTCTTTGACATTAAGTGCTAATGGCTCATTAAAACTTTTCAGTGCCACGAAACATTTCTGAAACAAAATTATTTGCACAATGTTCACGCATTTAACACGTGGGTAATAGGCTCAACCCCTTTGCGTGTCCTTTGTTATTAACTCACAATGCGTGTTGTGCTACGACCATTAAAACTCGAGCTCTTACAATTTTAGCGCCATCCCCTTTCGCAATCTAAAATTTATTTTAACACGGGAAGAGAGGTAGCTCACTTCATTTTGGCGCTTTAATTATTCTGATGAATCTCGTAGCACAAGTCGTTTTATGTAAATGATTCTTTGCGTGCGCCATTACATCGGCGTAGGCATACAAACTGAGTGTTTGTCACATTCTGCTTTATACAAGTAAACTTTGAAGGCTGTCAAACGTAATGGCTTTATAGTTATGATAAGTTGTTCGCTTATAAGTTTTTATTTTTTCATGTGTATTGCTTCGTAAAATTATTTAAAATAATAAATAAAATTTTGAACAAATATTTTTTGTTTTATTATCTATTATTTTAGAAATATAATAAATAATTAATTTGTAAAACATAAAATATAGCAACACTTTTCATATAAGAGAAGTAATACAATATAACAGGATATATCCGTAATTTTATACAACGGCACATAAATGAGGGTCGAATTGGATTTGAAATATTGTTAAAGGCTCTTAATCCAGTGTGCAATATTGCTGACAAAAGAGCTCAAGAGATAAAGCTTTAGCAATTTATAGAGCATGGGCAGGATAGGACCCAGATTTGAAAACCTTTGAAGACGATTCGTTTAGCTAAATCGCAATGATGTCATGAATAATTCTACACTGATACTACCAGCTTAAGAAGTATAAGTTGCTTGTGGAAGTAGAATCTTTACTTTTTTGTCACCTTTTTTGGGATAAATCAAGTATTTTTTTATTAAAATTATGAGATCGGACTGCAACAGGTAAATAAAATACGTATGCAATATAACGTTTTTAATACAACCTAAATAAGTCAATAAAATACTAACTATGGTACAGTTAAACGACGAAAGCATTTTTTTTTCCGAATTAATTTGCATCATGTGATATCGCGCAAATAAAAAAACTACGACATGTTATAGAAAAGGCATAGGCACATACGAATTGATCATTTTAATCACCTATCATAAGAAATTTGACATTAATAATTTGTACATTAGCAGTGCCTTATTAAATGGAAAAGAACATGTAATGGAATATTACAGAGTGATCGCAGTTACACATTTTTAGGAAGACGATTTGCTGTTCGGAAACTAAATTAAATATTAAAAATTAACAAGTACTTTTTCACGCATATTTATATAATATGTAACAAATACAGTTTCTTCACGGCCTATACGAGCTAAAAACGGCTCTAATAATATTGTATTCTAAAATTTAGGCAAATACATTGATTTTGAGAACCTTGGTAGCATCAGGAGTTTTTAAATCACGCAATATTCTTCAGCAAAGTGAGTTCAAATCCGGCACCAATGGAATTGAAAATCATATTGAAGCAAACATTTCTGCTAATCTACACGGCATATCTGATTAATATCCTCAGTTCAGAAGACACGCTTACCCTGCTGCTGTAATTGTACTGATTTTTTAGCATTTAATTTTATTTTTAAAACAATTGTTTATTTTAGTTTAAGAATAATCTCATTATTTGCAACTTTCATTCCTGGTCACGGAGGAAGATGTTTGAAGTCTTAACGTAATGAAATGAAAATTAAAAAAAAAATACCATTCGCTTTTAAATTATCTTCTTAGTTCAAAATTATTAGTTTAAATAACGTATAAAATATGTTATGGATTTCAAAAATTAAGACCTCGCTATCATTCTTATGCAATGGTCGAGTGAAAAAAATAAGTACATTATTAAAAATATTTCGAAGAATCAATAAAAGAAGCTAAAGCTTCATAATTACAACATTATACAAACAATTCCGTTTTTATTTTTCTGATCTTAAATAAAGCAATTTCATTACAAAACTTTCTTATCAATTATTTACAATGTTCTCGAGTAACTATCTAAGAAGGCATTTCTAATTATTCATATTTACAGGTAACTTACACATTATTCAATTATCTTCTACGAGTCTTAGGGGCCTAAGAAATAAAACCACTTTGTCTTACTCAAACCTAAAATATGCAATGGAAATCAATTAGGATGAGTACCTACTTAAAATTACATAAAGATAAAAATTTACAAAAGATATGTTTTCATTATCACTAATTACAACATTATAACATTTCAAACGTCATTTTATTCTCTATTAACAAAAAATTACAAGAAGCACGAAAAGTAACCTTTATGACTTCCATTAACTACACATTTTCAGACGAAACTATGAAGAAGGCTGAATCGTGCTAGCTTCTAACATTTTTGTTAATAAAAGACAAGGGATAATTTATCACGTTTCTAATTGCATTAAGGAACTGAGAAGTAGGATAAAGGAAAGTGTTAACAGCATTACATTTAATGAAGACCCTCCGCTTGAACTTTTCACTGGAACAAACAAAATTGTGTTTAGTGATATAATAAATATTAATGATGCGGAAACCTAAGCCGTCAAAAATATTTACAAATTTATTTCATTAATAATGGGTCATTAGAAGTAACGCAAACTTTTTTACACACGAAAACGAAACTTTATTTTAAGTTTTTTTTTGCTTCCTAGGAACAAAACCCAGGATTGAGAGTTAGTAGTAGTTGGCAGTTGATACATATGAGCACATATACATATACATATGATACCACGTTGGGCTAATAGCCCTGAATATATTCACAGTATATAATATATATATTCATACAATGGTATATTAATGAAATTAGCCAAACCTATACAATCATTTTGCAGACAGCTTCCTTACGACATACAAAAAATATAAAACATACGCGAAGATAATGAAGAAAAAATTATAGGTTATTATAATTAACGACGGTAGGAATAGATCTTAGTATATGACTTTATGAGTTCAGTCGCACCTCTTATGGATCCTTCCAAATATTCATTATTATTTACTAGTTATTTAGTAATCACTGCATAGTATAAAACAAAGTCGTCCCGCTATGTGTATATATGCATAAGCATGCATAGGGCATGCATGCTTAGATCTTTAAAAGTACGCAACAGATCTTGATGCGGTTTTTTACTAGATAGAGTGATTCAAGAGGAAGGTTTATACGCATAATACATGCCCTTGCGAAGCCGGGGCGAGTTGCTAGTAATGTAATAAATAATGTCTTACCAAGTAGCATAGCTTCCTTGCTATCAGCAAGTTGACTGTTACCAATTACTGCTTCGCTGCCTTCTCTCCACGAAGGCGCTACTCTAGCAGTACATCTCACTTGCATTGTCCTTCCTGTAGGTACGCGCAGCCCTAATGCTGTAGACACCAGGCCATGCTGATGTTGTATAGGAGGATATTCGACAAGAAGTGTTGCATCAGTCACCTAAACGTGCAAAAATATTATAAATGTTTCCAGTAGTTCTGTTGAATACCAACAACATATGGAAAATTTAAATTGTTCCTCTTTGAATCGTAGATAGGGAGACTGCAAAATCATAAAAGCAGAAATTAATTACATCGTAAGAAATTACTCTATTATTATGTACTAGATTAAGGAGCCTAGAGAAGGGTTTCATAAAAGAGTAAAAGTAGTTCAAGTATTTTTTTACGAATCCCTTTATTACTTAGAGTTAAAAATTAAGTCAATTTTCTTTTTAAATTTGTTTTTATTGTTTTAAAAAATCAGTTATTAATTAGCAATAGATTCTAACTTCAAATATTTCTCTTTATTGTTCATGCAAAACCGTAGGACCGTAGGTTATACGTACATATACATATATATTTTTAAATATTACCCAATTATCTTTTACTTTCGTTATCGTTTACTATTGTATTTATATAATTACTCATTATTGTGTTTGGTTCATAATATGTGTACAATAAAATAAAAATAAAAACATACTGTAACATACTTTTAACATCTACTGTTTTATACTTAGTAGTCCATTCTAAAAATTTGGTCTATTAATCTTTCTTAATTTATTATTAGTACCTGGAGGACCGAGCTTTGCTCGGTTTTTTCTAGTAAATCGAGTATTTTGGAAAATAAAAAAATAAAAAATAAAGAAAGCAATGATCTAGTATAGAAAAAAATAAGTGTGTAAATGATCGTGACACGAACCTACTGTTTCGGGACCGCCCGATTACCGAACGAGCTATTATAACATTTTGTTTTTCGGCGAAATTTACCGTCATATTCGAATGGCATTTTTCATTCCCTGAAAACAGGAATAAAAGGACATTTTCTAAAAATAAAACCTAGCTAGATCGATTTTTCGCCCCCGAATCTACGCACACACACGTATATATGTATATACAAGAATTGCTCGTTTAAAGGTATTACATTCTTTTTTTTTTCGTGCATCGTCGTCCATGTCTGAGCCATGATCTAAATTTCAAGCATCTAGTTCATCAATAACTTAGTTTAAAATCGGTTACAAAATTCCACCCGGACAGACATACAAGCAAGCGATTTAGTATAAAACATGTTAAAATATTTTGGAACATTTCTTTGAGTACAAGAATTTTATAACAGAATTTGTTATAAACTCCTACGGAACTTGTTTCGAAGTAAATTACCGCTGGCTACATTTAATGAATGCCAAATTTGAGAAGCAAACAAAGTACCTTTTCACCGTCAATATCCCAACTGAGAATTGCCGCCGGGTAGGAGCGGCCCGATGTGCAATTCAAAAACATGGAGTCACCTCTTCTATTCTCTTGTTGGTTGCCAGTTATTCGTGGTCCTTCTCGTGGCAAATCTAGATACGTAAAATATTCTTAGTCTTAATTATCAGTAAAGAAAAAAAACTTCGTGTTACCGTCTATGGGTTTAAAAAATGAAATCCGTAAATATATAGCATGAATCATTTTTATGGGGTTTCTTGAGTGGGAGGTCATTTAAAATACTCATACATTCCGCGTGTTTATATTATATATGCGCAAAAACATAATTTAGAAACGAAATAGCTGTTACAGCTGCAAAATAGTAAGTACAATGATACAGCGGACAAATTAAAAACTATGAGATCGCTTTTCCTTTATATCATGTCTGATTTTCTCGCTTTCAGTTTGTTGACTACTTAAACTTCATCGAACGCAGAATTAATGTGGTAACCAGATCTTTCGAGCTTGCTATGGCCTTCCCTTGGGTAAGGCCGCGCATGTGCCCATGCGTGCGCTATTTGGTTATGGCTAAATTGAAAGTTTGCAAGTATGCAATTTATCTCAAGGGAATAAAATAGATTCCCTTATATCGGTTATTATTACTATTATTATTACTGAGGCATTTGTCAAACGGACCTTTTGTCAGTTTTGCGAATTAAGTAAAGATTTATTTACGGGCTTATGGTAAGGTAATTAAATATTTACATATAACTTCCATTCGGCCTTCACCAGCTGCAGATGCGAAACTAGGCGCTTCTGCGGACACCTCGCATCTATATTGCCCAGTTGATTTCAATGTGACAGGATGTAATAACACTCGGCGATCATCAGATTTTGACAGCTGTAAATATTAGAAACCTTGTACGAAGGTCTTGAGGATTGAAAGTGTTTAATGTTAATTAGAAAGTCACCTATAAATTGCATTATGTTCTGAATGATAAACTGTAACAATATGTGAGGGCAGAAAAAGCAGAATTAGGCGTTTTTAAGGTTGAACATTATGTTTTTTTTTTGGAAGAAGTGGTGTGCAAGTAAATGACAAAAAACAATTTCATTTATTTTTTTTTATGTGAAAAGTTGCCAAACGAGCAGACGGTTCACCTGATGTTAAGTGAATACCGCCGCCCATAGACATCTGCTATACCCGAGGGTTTGCAGATGCGTTGACTACCTTTTTGGAAATTGGGCTCCGGCTACCTCACTCACCAAACGAAACGCGAAAGTATTTGTCATACTTCCACTTTACGCTGGTCTTCTGTGAGGTCGTGGTCCCAGACGAGCCTGCCCATTCGTGCAACAGCCGAGGCTGCTGCGTGGCTCTACCACCGTTATTTTTTTTTTAAATTTATATCATAATATTTTGAAATGAAGTAATAGTTATAAAAGGAGATGATTAGAATATTTTGATTGTAATTTTTTACACAAACTATTTAATATTTCTGAATATTGTATTATTTATTGTAAACATATTAAAATTTAAACTTGTTTTTATTACTAATTTAGGAAGTAAGTATTCAATAACAATTCTATCAAGCAATTTGATACAATTAAAGCCCTAACTTCTTTATCTGAGCTTTTGTGACGATTAGCAGATGTGCAAAAAAAACCACTTATAATAGATAAAATGGATCATAGCAATTCGCAAGCACGCCGTCTTCATTGTTTACTATGATAATGGTATAACAATAAACTGTGCAGACGATATGACGATGCACGCCTCGTGAAAATCTAAAATGGTTTCTCAACCAATGAGATGCTTACTGCTTTTTATTTATATAGCTTAACGGTATTGTAATAAGAACATAGCAAGCAAATAGAATTCTAATCTATAATACATATTTTATTATTGTTTCAATAGCAGTTCTGAGTTGTTCCTGGTTTAGGAAGTTTTGCTGAAGAGAACTAGAAACTGGCAGCTATGGTCTAAAATAGATTAAACGCCAACGGTTTATTTTGTATCAGGTGTGTTATGAAAAAAAAAAACTCTGTAACTGCTTAATAATATTATTCAAGTTTCGAAGGCAGTATTATACAATGAATATTAAAGATACTTACATCAACTTTGATTCCGTCTAACTTATATGCGTGTTTAGGTGGATCATACTTGGGCATGTAGCGATAAAACTCTTCGTTATCTCTGTACCATTTCACTGAATATAGTATATCATCCCCTAATTCGTAGTCACAATCTAACTGAGCGGGCTGACCTCTTACTTTATACGACGGTACTGCCACTCTAACAATTTTTAGTAGTAAGGATTCTGTAAGAATAATAAATAAATACATAAATGTCGAAATTATTAGAACTACTCGTAAGCTAATTATTACATTAAAACATTACATACGGATTTATTACTTTATGGCTCTCGATATAAGAAACGTAAAAGCTCTATTTTAAACATTTTCATGTGTTTTGAGCACAGCCCTGTATATCCAGGTTATACCTAGTTTATTTAGTCCTAAACGTGACCGGTGGCGACCCTTGCCACCGTAATGATGCAACAAATCTAGGAAAAAAATAACTCCTAAGAAATACGAAACGATAAACTTTGCGATCGCACACATGTGCTACGCAAACTACGCAATTAAGTTATCAATTAATTATTTTTAATTCACCATAAATAAGTCTCCAACAATGATTTCACAGCAGAATTGTAAAATTGGAATCCATTATTTAATATTACATTAATCTTCCGGTGATTAACGAAACTCTTCTTTATAAAGCTATATTTGAGCAAAATACGAAAGTGAGGGTAAAAGAATACGTACAGAAATCTATTTTTTTTCTCTTACGAATTATTTTAGTGCACAAAATACTTTTTATAAAAATTAACCAACTACAGCACTGTCTTCAGACAAACTCAAGTTATTATAAATTATTGGTAATATAAAAAAATTATGGACAAGAATATAAAAAAGTGAACTTTCTATATTTTAGATCTGCTTTTATTGGGAAACACATTAAAAAATAGCGTTATTTTATGGACATATAATACAATAAGGTCGATAATACGCTGCCACATAAATAAATGTGCACAAGTAAAGTCCCTTGAGTTCTGTGTCGGCGTGAAGCACATTTATATGAATGAGTAAAATGGATACAAACTAGTGAGAGTTGCTTTACGTACTACTGAAGTCTTCAAACTTTGAATTTTAAAGCTAATACTAATAGTTTATTATACTACTAATAATATTACTATTTAATTTATTTTAAAAATTAAGGTTACTTATATCTATTTCATTAATCTGAACCTCTTATGAACTGGTTATTAAAGCAAGTTCACTTGAATTGAAATAATTTTCGAATATATTATATTTCGAAAGTTAGCAAATAGAAAATCATTTCAATTTGCATATTTTCAATTACATTTCATATATTTTAGTATAATTATTAATGTTGCAGTAGAAATTGGTTTAAATTACCATGATTAATTTGTACGTACTATTTAAAGTTTACCCAACATATATTTTTTTGAAACCATAAATTAAATTTCAATTAAGTATTCCAATAAAAAAAATTTTCCGAATATATTCTTGAAATTTTTTAAGGTTTATCTATTATTATGTAATAGAGGAGTGATAAGCTACAAATAAATTAACATAGAGAACTAAGCAATAATACATTTCCTTTATTATTAAGATTTACAAATATGTTCCTCGAATTAACAAATACATTCAGATTAACACATTACCTTTTATTAAAAAGCCGATAATTGCGAAAGTGAGAAACATCCTCGTATAGTTAAACAAATAGTCTCATCACGTAACACAATTAGGCCATATATTTATTTTAAATTGATCACTAAACACACGCGGTTCGATCGGCTGCAGCGTTGCTCACCGATAGTGGCTAGGGACGAAAGCTTTTCGTAGCTTTTCTCGAATGGGATGCGTGCGTCCGTCACCTGTGAACCCGACAATCCGACTGAACCATGTTCTTGGCTCTCGGCACTCGGTTGCGTTTTCGACCGCTAACCCTGCGCCGGGGTCACAAAGAACGGTTACCCGTCTACAATTATAGTTTATCGAAATAATTAATGGCTCGCGGAAAAATTATAACAGTGACTGTCGTCAGTAATAACATACTTAAGCTTGACAAATGAAAATCTATTCGGGTATTAACGTAGTTTGGAAGTTTAAGGGATAAATGTGTGCTATAATAAAAATAAGATTTTGCGACAGACACACTGAAGATTCATAGCGTCGATATTAAATGAGAGTTTAAATAACGGGTAACAGTATCACACGGTAATGAATGATTCTGTGTAATAAAATAATTTATCTGTTAATTCATAGGCTTATTAGAAAATGAATAACGTGTAGAGAGGACCTCGTGAAGAGCAAAATATAATTAGGAAGCCATTTCTAACACAGTGCGATGAGTCTTCTGTTACATTATCGCATCACACGCTCCCTTTCTTTTATTAAGTTATTATGATATCAATATCACATGCCCCTGATATTAAGGTAAATGTCATTAGATCTGCTACCCTTATAAGTGGAACGTGAGTAGATATCATACTTTTTTCTTGCACATCGAAAAGGTCGTAACACTTTGTCTGTACGATGTTCGAGAATGGGAAAGTATCATAAAATCACACATACGAACCTTAATTTTCCTTATAACCTTATAAAGTACCCATTCAACATCAATCAGCTCAGAATGAGTATTGCAACTGGTGGTTTTTTATGTGCGTTTTTGAAAGGTTCGTCGAGATATAGATAAGTACCTATAATTTAAGTGAAAATTTAAGATAAAATTCTTACGTAATAAAATAAATATTATGGGACAGAAACGGATAAATAAATAAAAAAATATATTGAATTCATAACTTATATAATAAATTGTAATTCATTCAGTATTACTTATTAAATTAAGTAATGCACATATTACTTGTCGGGTTTTAAAGTGAAGTCGAGAGTTTTGAAAACAAATTAATTTTTCCGAGACAGTTTCCATCATAGCTAATTTCTGAATAAACAAAGTCGGATGCAATCTTAAAAGTGTCGTACCCGCGCTGTTTGGAATTTAAATTTTTATTATATATATTATTTAATTAATGTTTTGTGTAACGTTATTAGTTTTCTATAACAACAATTTCTTTCTTCAGAACAATTCATTATTTTGCTTAGCTTTTCGTGATTTCTAAAGTGTATGTGCCGTTACGCTTGTTTTTGGATCAACGCCAACTTTTTGCGACAATCATCATCATATATTCTTCACCGACCGTGGATGGCAACTGAAGTTAGATGAAAAAATATAGTTTTATAGGACATAGCCGTATATTACATTGTTAAATGTGCATTTCGCGTTTTGTTTGTTATTACAAGAAATAGAACTTCATCAATATGAATGTCATCATGAACGAGATCGTATTGAAATTTAAAAAAAACCGGCTAAGTGTGAATCGGACTCACGCAAGAAGGGTTCCATACCATTATATTCTATAAAAATAGCAAAAAAAATCATGTCTGTTGTACGTACCAATCTTAAAAAAAATTATTTTGTTTTGTAGTATTTATTGTTATAGCGGCAACGAAAATACATCATCTGTGAAAATTTCAACTGTCTAACTGTCACGGTTTATGAGATACTGCCTGGTGACAGATGGACAGACAGATAGCGGAGTTTTAGTAATAGGGCCCCGTTTTACCCTTTGGGTACGGAACCTACCCTAAATAGTAACTTTTAAGCGTTTCAAACGTCCTGTCAACTTATTCAAAACTAGTAACCAATGTATCGAGGCATTATCGCAATTTTGTTTTAAATAGCCCAAAGCTTTTTTTTAGTACAGAAATATATATATAAATTAATAGATCACACCAGGAGACTAGTTAAAAGTGATATACTGCTGTTCTTCCATAATGAGAATAATTTAGTAGATACATTATACATGAATAATATTAGTAGAAATATAGTAGACAAATTGGTACTCTAGCAATAAAGCCACCTATATGTTTCTTTCTATATATTTCCTTGCGTGTAATAAAGTATATTCAATTCTATTCTATTCTAATGTCTAGCGATTTTTATATACTTATTGATCATATTTCAATAATATTTTAATATCCTTACACATTTTTATAACTTGTTGGAGCTATTGTGTGAATTACTGGATCAAGCCTACAGCAGGAATGTTTTCAATAGCTTCGTGAAAGCATCATAATCGCAGCTTTCGGACATTCAAATCGTAAATATCTTAAGCTTATCTTTAATTTTCGTAAATAGAATTAAGTCGCTGTCGGGGCTGTATAGCAAAGGCGTCATCAGTTCCCCTCGAGAGGAACCTCAAATCTTGCTAGATGTATTAATTTATGTAATAAAAAAGATGACATCTACAAACAATTAAATTTATACAATTTCAAACATTTTGTAAAAGTTTCCTTAATAGAAAGGACCTGTTATAATCTAAAAGAACACATTGAGGACAGGATGTGTGGAAATGACTCTTGCTGTGGTATTGCAAATCCTCTGGCTGCAGCTAACTTTATACTTAAATACTTTTGAGTACTTAAATAATTAAAAAAAATAAAGAAAAGACCACAGACTTTCTTGCCCATTCTTCACAGACAGTTCTACTTTAGAGAACCGGTGGAAGTTTTTTTGACGTTCAATAAGAGCTTAAAATAAACCTATATTGAACATAGAAATTTAGAATTTGTCTTTGACAAATAAGCCTACGTGGGAGATTTCTTACCTTAACGGACGCTTTATCGTGGTAAAAGACGCAATGTTGTGAGGCCGCTTTTTGTGAACATTTTTCAACACATGCAAGCTATTGTTTATGTGATAATCTACATCGCTGTCCCCTTTTCCACAGTGCAATTAAATGTCCTGATTTGACAAAAAGAGGGAACAGCCGTTTTCAAAAGCTTTATCTTTTCGGTTAAAAGCAGAACAGGGTACAATTAAAGTTCCTGGTATAACAAGACCAGAGCCCCTCATTCTAATTACCTGTGAGCACAATGTTACTTTTAGATTACATACGTAAGCCTTACGCTATTAGGCCCTGGACAACATAGCTTTTATCCAGACCCCGTCAACTTCAGTGTCGCCTCTCTCCTGATCAAGTTTGGAAATTTTGCTCTGGATTGTGACAGTTCAGATTAGGAGACCAGTGATATGCGAGCCGATTTCTATATATTCCTATACTCTATCATAGCTGTCACTGCAACAGGTGAAATCAGGTTTGTCCTGATCATTTGGATCCATTTTGTAAGCATACATTGCGTTGAATCCAGGTTCCCTTCTTACGAAGCTAGGCTTCGTAGCTTGATAACAGATTTGTCGTGAGTTCCGAGGGTTTCACAGTAGTAAGAGCCAAATTTCTAGCGCACGTGTTAGTTCATGATTCTGCATCTCTCCCAGTAGGGTACACCTTAGTTTTAAGTGCTTTTTGCGAGGTCTCACCTTTGTGACTTTGTGCAGAATCAGTAATGCAAAACTTACCAGGCTGCAACTGTCAATATTATAAGTACAATAACAAAATAATAATACGATCTACGGTACGTAATACGGACATAATATTAATACGATTTGAATGTAATAAAACAATTAAAGATGCGATATAATAATACTAATCCCGTGACTTTGTCGTAGCGGGCTTAAACTCATGTGTGTTTGTTTTTGCTCATAAAGAGTAAGAATTATCTATATGTTGTTTTATAAATGACTCTGTTAAATTTTCTGAGTTGGGTGACCGTATGATCGACAAACTACTCTTCGTTAAAAGTTTAAGTTCCGTTGAAATCTTGCTTGGTTAGGTATAGTCTTAATAGTTGTAAACTTGGCAAGGGCCTATCCATGCTTTTTGTCAGTAGTCGCGGACTGAGGTTACGAATTACCTAGACTTACTTAGAATTTTTGGGAATGGTATTTCCATTTTTTTATACAATTAATTGTATATCATGTTTTATTAGTTACTTTATCCTTCAAGAGCTATCAGTCATCGTGGTTTAAATATTATTATAATAATACTAAAAATGCTCTGCTTGAAACGTTAAAAACTTAGTTACTTTTTGGAAATTTACTTAGTTCTTCCATAATTTAAATGTAAATTCAATTTAAAATTATTTTAAAAAAAGGCGTATATTTTACTCTACATGCGCGAGTTTATACCAAAAGTCATGTAAATTAAATACTTCAATTTTATTTTCAGTTTTTTTTTCACTCTTTAGTTAACTCGTTGCATGAGAAAACATTTCATTCGATAAAGTTTAGAACTTCCTTAACTTAAACTGTGGTAGGGCCACGCGACTGCTTCTTTTGTATACAAATATATCTACAATTGAAATTATTAACCGATAAAGCGTCTGGGTGTGTTACCCATACTTAGGTTCGAACCAAAAGTTATCGATAATTGATCTACAAAAAATCATATTTTAAGTTTCATCTTGAATGTAGAGACTGGCCCTAAAAAAAGAAAGAACGTAGGTAGACGTCAAGATTTGTGCGCTGTGAGGTCTTCGGCCGCTTATTTTTATTGCTAAAGCAGCTTGGCGCATTACCTTGAAGACGCGGGTTCAATCCCTGAAGCACTAAAACTTTTTAATAATTCATATATAAAAATAACATTTTGTTGTCAAATAGTCATCCAAGTTCCTTCACTTCTTAAAAAAAAAAAAAAAAGTTCCATGCTACGTAAAAAATAAGTAGATGAAGGTAAGTAACTTATACAGGTAATCCAGAAAATCAGATTTGATAATTAAGTTTGTGTTACATAATATTTAGC